GCCCAACGGGATTGGGCGGCGGGGCGGAGGGACCCCTCGGGCCTCCTCGGTCCAGGGAGGGGAGCTCCTCTTGGACTCCCCTGGCCGCAGACGAGCCCGGACGTGGAAGGTGACGGAGCTCCCGCAGCTGCGAGGGGGCCGCTGCGCAGGCGGGACCCCGGCTGAGCTGGGAGTCGCTCTCGGGCGGCCCGGCGGGGAGGCGGCAGGGCCGGGTGCCTCCGAGGGTGGGGGAGCCAGGCACGACTGCCTGTCGGGCGCCCGCCTGGCCTGGATCATGTGACCGAGTGGTTCGCGACACGGTGGCCAACTGTACCAGCCTCGGGTGCCGCGTATTAGGCATGGACTACCGCCGTTTAACTCGCACCTCGGCTCCAGGGGTTGCGGGTAACGTTTGATGCACACTTTACCGGAGGAGTAGATCGAGCCCAGGGTGTCATTTGTGCTCCGATGCACGCTACAACGAGGCGGGGCCGGGATTGGGACCCGTGCAGCCTGGCCCCGGAGTCCCCACTGCAGACAGTGGAGGCCCGTGCTCCGTGCGGTGGAGCTTGTGCGCGTGGCGCGGTGTCTGCATAATCACGCTGGGTGGGGTCCGGAGGAATTAAGGGACGGGGAAATACGCTGGGATCTTCGGGGCGCTCGGAACGGGCGCAGTGTTTCAGGGTTGGGTGTTTCAAGGAGCCATTCATTTGATAGGTGACGGCGAGCGCGGGGTTGCTCGAATGAGCGTGTGTTGGTTCCCCGCGTTCCGTTGTCCTTTGAAAAAGCGTTCTTTGGAGATATTGAAAAACCTCTCCCGCTGTCTCCCTAGTGTACGCAAGAACCTTGCTTGGGTTGAGAAAAACTGGCGAAATGTGCTGGTTACTTTTCAGTGCCTCAAAAAAATGCATTTATCTGGAAATGGCTTCCTGTATTTCTTTTTTTTTAAAAAAAATTTTTTGTTTTTCAGTTATAGTTGACATACAATATTATGCTAGCTTCAAGTGTACACCGCAATGATTAGACATTATACTTACTAAGTGATCATCCCAATAAATGTCGTACCCATCTGAACATTTCTTAAAGTGATTTTAAAACTGCTTCAGAGCAAAACCAAACCTCCAGCATCTTAGTCCTGCCTGCAGTACTTCTGAATTAAAGCTGAATTAAACTCCGACTTTATTTGGTAACTGAAGAAAAAGATCACCTAATCATTTTCAATTCAGCAGGTTTTTTATTTTTCATGTTGACTTGAAAAATAAAGGGATTTGCTCCAAAGTAATGGGAGGGGAAGCACATCCCCCCTTATGAAACAAGGAGGCAGATGTTGATACAGTAATTGCTGAAGCTGAGTGATGAGTGATGGGTGGAGATGGGGGCATTTTATTATTTTCTCTGCTTTTTTATATTCTTGATATTTTCCATAATAAGTTTTTTAAAAATCTGTAGATCAGAATCTAGATTCTTACAGCCATATGAGCCGTAACTGTTTCTCTAAAATTTAGGCTATTTTTGTTTGGAGTTTTTATTAATAGATTGCTCCTCTTTTGTCATTGAGGTGTTTACTTTGATGATGAAACTACGTATGTGACTTGATAACCTTTATTATTATTACTAAAGTTTTTTTTCTATACGTATTTTATTGATTTTTTAAAAAATATATCTTTATTGATTTCAAAGAGAGGAAAGGAGAGGGAGAGAGATAGAAACATCAATGATAAGAGTCATTGATCCGCTTCCCCCTGCACGCCCCTGACTGGGGATCAAGCCCGAAACCCGGGCATGTGCCCTGACTGGGAATCAAACCCTGATTGCCTTGATCCTAGGTAGATGCTCAAGCGCTGAGCCACGCCTGGCTGGGGAATTTTTATTTATTTATTTATTTTAGATTTTTTTTTTTTAGAGAGAGAAGAAGGGAGAGGGAGAGAGAGAAACTTCAATGAGAAAAACATCAACATTGATTGGCTGCCTCCTGCACACGGGATGGAGCCTGAAACCCAGGCATGTGCCCTGACCAAGAATCGAACCCATGACCTCTTGGTGCATGGATCGATGCTCAGCCACTAAGCAACACTAAATATAGAATTTGTACAATCAGCATGTAACATGATTTACTTAGGTAGCCTAAAATCCGAGGTCAGATCATTTGAGCAGTAGAGATAGGTGGGAATTAGGCGCCTCAAAAACCGAGTTGCTTTATAAAATGGGGTGTTAAAAGTGATTCCACTAAGTGCTTCTGAGTAACCAATCAATTCACTCCCTTGCTGCTGTTTGACATTCTCACAGTGACCATCTTTCCACCGTAGAAAAGGACACAAACGGAGAAGTCCTGTGGGTGTGGTGCTATCCCTCCACCACGGCTGCCTTACGGGGCCTGCTGCTGAGGAAGTGCTGCCTCGCCCGTGAGGACAAGCGCCTCCACCCCTTCGTCTTCGGTCAGTACAGAAGGACGTGGTTTTACATCACAACAGTCGAAGTTCCAGAGTCTTCAGTTTTGAAAAAGGTACGAGTGCATAAAGGTCAAAAAACCAAAAGCATTTAAAGTGATGTAAGATTATTCCAGTAACTCTTAGCTTTAGATTTTATCATTCACAATATGCTTTGCAAAACATTCAGTATGATTTTCATTAGGACTGTTCTCGTTCACGTTTCACTCTTACTCGTCCTATAAATATTTGTTGGTGTGCATTATATGACGGATCCTGCGGTTGTGCAGTGAAGCCTTGCTCGGGTTATACTCTGATGGGTTAAAATGCAGAAGTAGTTTCAGAGTAATGAGTCTCATTACAAGGGTGAAGTATTTTTTCCCATCAATAAAAGCTATTTTAGAGATATCACTGTCCGTGGCTTAGTAAAGAAAACTCTTTTTTTACTTGTTTGTGGGTGGGAAGGCTAAATTAAGACTAGAAAGGATAATTAAGGAAACTCATGCATTCAGTAGGTTTTTTGTTGTGTCATTTGATAGGGACAGGATCAGAGTGACATGTTGAAAACCACTATGTGGTCCTTGAGAGCTTCCCTGTCCCATCAGCCAGCAGGTTTTCTCAAAGAAAAGAATACTGGGGAGAAGTGGCTGGACTCCTGGCATGTTCCTGGGTTGGGACTTCTGTTACCTTTTAGGGATAATTTTACAGCCAATAATAACCAGACTGTATGAAGCATGTCCAAGATATCAGTTTAAGGAATTACATTTAAAATAACAGGAAGGCAACAATTTAGAAACTGTTTAAGACAAAACAGAGATTCGTAGTTTAAAAATTAAATTTGCAAAAAGATAGTTTTGCACATGTTATAAAATCCTTGGTTTATGTTCATTAGGTTCTTGCTGAAAAGTCTTGATGTATCCTCGGGTAGATTTATCATGTTTTACAGTACAGACTGCCAAATTACAGCAACAGCAATTTCTAATTTGTTTTTCAGATTTGAAAAATAGCAAGATATTGAGATTTTATACCTCAAAATATTTTTTAAAATGTATTTCTTCTTTTTTTAAATCCTCAACCGAGGATATGGTTTTTTTGTTTGTTTGTTTTTTATTTTTTAGAGAGAGAGGAAGGGGGAGAGAGAGAAACATCGATGCAAAAGAGAAACATCGATCGACCGGGGATCAAACTGGAAACCTTTCGGTGCACAGGCGATGTTCCAACCAACTGAGCCACCCGGCCAGGGCCTAAAAATGTATTTCTTAAATACTTTGCTTTTATAAAGTTCTAAATTTTGTTTCATTAATGGGATTAATTAGTATATAATTATCAGAAATTTGTATTTATAATAATAAAGGCATATAAATAAATGATGCTTATAGCAGTGCCCTTTAGGTTATATAGCAACCTGCAGAGAGCGGACTGTTTCAGGAACTGTATAATTTTTACTGTAAGAATTTTACTGAGATGTGTTTTTGTTGTTTTCCATTCTTTTATATCATTAATGAAAAACAGTTGCTAAATTGGTAGGTCTGGTATAGCATTCCTAGCTCTGCTTTGATGAGGTTAGGGGATTTAAAGTAAAAATTCACATTTTTAATCTTTGAAATATTTTTGTTTTTTGAAAAAAAAGCTAACCAAAGTTTTGCATTTTTATGTAGGAAATTCAATATTTATGTCTATGTAACTTTTTATGTGTGTGGATATACATATAAAGTATAAAGAAACCAGTGAGGACTTGGTTACATTCTGGTCTTTTCCTTTTAATGCTGCTATGTCTTGTACAAGAGGTTTGTTAAAATATAGTGATAAAAATTAATTCTGTTAAAGTGTCTTTAAAAAGTGTACTTTTTTTGTTTCTTTTGGACAGGTGACTCATTTTTCTATTGTTCTGACCGCCAAAGATTTTAACCCAGAGAAATATGCCGCCTTCACTAGGATATTGTGTAGGTCTGTATGAAAACTGTATTAAATGCTAATATACAAAACTGCAGATCTAGAGCAGATTTCTACCCTGAGGAAGCAGATTTCCCCTTTTTCTCCCAACGTAATCTTGACCGGCCCTTCAGTGACTGTGTGGTAAAGGGACTGTGTCACCTGCTTCAGTGATACTGCTCCCCTCATTTGGGAAAATGGTAGAGGGCAGGAGAAAGCTCCATTTGCGAGACTTAGAGCGCCTGGGTGTTGTGAGTCACTTGCCATTGTTGGTCTGTTACTTCTACTCATTTGTAGTTCGAACTTTCCTGTACAGGACGGATAAGTTAAGAGCTTTGCAAAGTGGTCAGCTGCCTCGTGTGTGTCAAGGCCTGTGAGGGAGTCATTTGGGGGAAAGTTAATGAGCATTTTGATTTACGCTGAAGCACAGGAAAACATTTCTTAGCTGGAATGCTGAGGAGCTGAAAAACTGATTCATTGGTTAATAGTGATTCGGGTAGACTCTTTTAGTTTCATCCTAGCTGTTGAAGAAATTTATTTAAAACACACCTGCCTGCTTTCTTGCCTCAGTAAGTATATTTAGTGAACTTCATGAAATCTTTCTTATATGTTAGGAGTGTTGGCTTTTTTCTGTAATGGAGACTTTTGCAGGGTTTTTAGTTTAGTTTTTTTTTTTTAATATTATTGTCATTAGATAGACTTAAAAGTCTAGTTGTTATATATTACTTAGCCCTCAGGGTCACACCCAATAACTAGTTTGGGGTTGGTGTGAATGATGGGAGTTTTGTTTTCCTCTCTATAATCCCAATGTATGGTTTCCTTTTTGCCATTTTTATGTGCACACGTGACATAGCATAAGAATACCTTCTCATTACCCGAAGGGTTTCAGTTAGGTTGTGTTTTGACAAAGTGAAGTTTTACTGTGTTTGCACCCAGCTTTGATATGAAAGACTTCTTGCTGCCTAGGATAAATTCCAGGTATATGGCTCTGTGGAATATAAACAGCTGTCTGCTAATATGTACTGACACAGAGAAAGATTATGATCGCTAGAAGAGACACTGTCCAGAAACTGTGAACTAAAAGCATTGCAAAGGTGTTTTTGAACAAACATTGGACTCCTGTTTCATTTGATTGGGTGAAGGTTAAGTTACTTAACTAAATTCACTGGGAAATGCTCTGGGGCCGGAAGACAAGGTTAGTTTAGACCCCACTAATTGCCCGGGAGGAAGCCCAGAGGGTTTCTCAGCTTTTGTGGTGCCATGGCCTTGTTGCATTCTGGATTCTCTTCTGCCACAGTGCAAAGGAATTGAGGACTCAGACCTATTGCCAGCCACTTCCTCTGCCTCCAGCCCCTTAGTGAACTCTAGTGCTTGCCCTTATGTATGCATACACCAGTGGACTCAGGTACACACGCTTTCTCCCTGTGAACACGTGTCTGCATGCACATGCACACAAACACTTTTAAAACAATTTTTCTAATTTTTCAATTACAGTTGACATACAATATTATATATTAGTTTCAGGTGTATACCACAGTGATTAGACAGACATTTTTTTATAGTGGTGGGATTACCATGGATGTGCTCCCTGTCATTTCTGGTGAGAGAAGCAGGCAGGCATTCCTTCCGTACCACGCTGCTCACAGTGGCAGTGGAGGCCCACATGGGTTCATTCCCTCTATGGATTCAGGCACACTTGGAGTCAGTTGTCCAGGCCAGGTGTGACAGCTTGTGGATGTACATCTGAATGCGGTCCCTTGGGTTGTGCTTTGTGGTTTTGGGGGATTTCTCCTTCTAGTCAGTCTCTCATGGCCCAGGGTTGTCATGTGGGAAGTCATCTTATCCTACCACCTCTCATGTTTCTCTTCTCCTATATATTGTTTCTATTTTATAATTGTAATGGTGTCTTTTTTGGTTTTGTAGCTTTTTGGTGGTGGTAATGTAAGCACGTTTAAAAAAAAGTACAAAAGATACAGGAGGGTGTACAGTGAAAACTAAGTCCCTGCCTTCCCCTAGTCCTAGCCTCTAGTTCTACCTCCTGACTCCCCACCCCAGGGCTGCTCCTGGGCCTGTTTTCTTTATATCCAGCTCGAGATAATGCCTCCTTAATAAGCATGTGGGCAAGTTCGTGGGCTTGCCCCTATACTTTATATATCTGATAGCTTACCATAGTCATTGTGCTCTACCTTTTTTCTCAGTTTCTGCATTGAAAAACACTGATGATTAACAAAATTTGGTAAGCTCTTAAAACATTTTTTTTCATTATCTTAATGAAACTTAATCTACATTCAGTATTATTTTCAAGTGACCTATCCTAAACATTGGTTTTATTTTCTTCCCAGTTTTCTATCCCTTCAGCTGCTGAAAGGCCCAAGTAGACCCAGTCCTGCTTTCCAAGCAAAATTTAGATTTAGTTGCTCATAGGAAGAGATTTCTGGGGAGGGATTGATTTCACATGCGAGCTATAAATGGAGCCAGTTTCCTGTCAGCATTTTCTGAAAGTTTTAACTTGATGAATGTATCTAGTGCGCATTTATCACCAGAGTCTTAAAGGAGTTTGATTTCTTAATGATCTAAATATAGTTATCTCTGGGAACTCTGGTAATAAATACAGGTTCTACAGCTAATTACTGCTTTCTTCGTGAACAATGCATAAACCTCCTTTCTTGTCAGAGGAAATCCCAGCGACAGTCACAGAGCACCAGCTGTGACTGTCAGACATAAAAAGATAACTATACAGCGTTCTGAGAATAAGGGGCCTCGGAGAGCCCGTCATTCATTCTTCTGCCTGAGTGCATTACAGCAGGCTTTCCCAGATATAACGGGAGAGCTGACTTCGAAGAATTGTCAAAGGTCTCTTAAGGGGTTCTTTTTAAAAATACATTTCAAATTAAATTTTAGAATTATCAGGCATTCAGAAGTGTATTAGCAAGTTGGCTTCGATTCTGTAGAAAGTACCCGCGCCTGGCCTTGGCGCCTTTCTCCATGTGGCTGGTGGGAAATAAAAGCACAGTTGCATTTTGTTTTTCCTTTCAGACTGTACCTGAAGCATGGGAGCCCCGTTAAAATGATGGAAAGTTACATTGCAGTTCTCACAAAGGGAATATGCCAGAGTGAAGAAAATGGCTCTTTCCTTAGCAAGGACTTTGATGTCCGGAAGGCATACCTCGCAGGCTCCATCAAAGGTAAAAGGGGAAAGAGACAAAACCCCATCTCAGACGATTTCATGCCCACGACAGAACCCCCAGGCCCAGGACAGTCTCTCAGTAGACGGTTTCTCTTTTCACATGTGTCGTCTGTGTCATATTTAATTCCCCTGCAGGAGAGTGTCAACTTCTCCATTTCCTTATTGGATCAGAGTCTGCCGTAGGAAAGCAGGCTTGATTCTGACCTCATGTAGAAATGTTCTTTGACCAGTGCGCTGCGTTTCAGGGCGCTACGCCTGGAGAGCTCCAGCCCCAGGCCAGGCTTCTAGTCCAGCTCCCACCTTTTCTACCCGGAAAATCCAAAATGGCAGAGAGCCCAGGGCTGAGCCACAGGCTTCGGGGCCTGAAGGAAGGAGCGGGATCTCCAGGGAAATGCCGACCTTTGCTCCCATCCTCCCATAGCCCCTGTCTGTCTTCACTGTTGATGCTACTGTTCTATATGGTTTCTAAGCGTCCCTGTGAAGGTGTCAGCTGCTGTCCTGTCTCAAAAGGATTCAAGTAATG